AAGGAATCCTCGACCGTATGCAATTTTAGCCCCCGGCCGGCCGGCGCGCCAGCCAGTGAACGACGGCCCTTTTTGCCCAGAAGGAGGGGCCTGACCCTCCATCTCCCTCCTGCCCTTTGTGCGCCGCTCTCCGCTCTACGACCGTAGCCGGGGCTCCCGGTCCCGGCACCTCCGGTCTTGGAGGAATCCTCGTCCATATCAGATTTTGGCCCTCGGCCAGCCGTGGACCGCCCGGTGCGCTGGACCACGGACGACGGCCCTTTTTGCCCAGAAGGAGGGGCCTGATCCTCCGGTTTTTCCCTTGCCATTTGTGCGCCTCGCTCAGCTCTGCACGCGCAGCTGGGGCTCCCGGCTTTGGCGCCTCCGATCTTGGAGGAATCCTCGACCGTATCCGATTTTGGCCCACGGTCGGCCCCGCGCCAGCCGGTCAACTTTCTGTGGCGGCACCTTTTCCCTGGGAGGAATCCTCATTTGTATGGGTTTTGGGGTGGGGGGGGCCGGCAATTGTAGCGCAGGGCTGATCCAAGGGTCCAGCACCCCTTGGCCCCAGGACAGAAAGCCTGGCAGCTTTGGCTTTCAGGTGCAGTTGGTGGGGCAGCCTGGGCACTCCGTGGGCAGCAAGAGCTTTCTGTGCTTTGCTCTGGTATCAGTCTTTGTCCTTATGCAACTTTGGGCGTCAGGCTGGTAGTTGCAGCAGAGGGTTGATAGAAGCAAACCACAGCCCTTATCCCCAGCAAAGAAAGCTTGTAAGTTTTGGCTTTCGGGTGCAGTTGGTGGGGCAGCCTAGGCATTCCATTGGCAGTAACAACTTTCTGTCCTAGCACTTTTTTTCTTGGAGGAACCTTCGTCCATATTCTAGTTTTGGAGCTGGACTGCCTGTTTCTGCTCTAGGATTCGTGCAAGTGAACAACAGCCCTTTTGCCCTGGGAAGAAAGCCCTTACCTTCATGGTTCCTTGTGCAGTTGGTGGGCCAGCCTAGGTTTTCCATAGGCAGCAAGAACTTTCTCTCCTGTGCACCTTTTGTCTGGGAGTAATCTTCCTCTGTGTTCAATTTTGTAATTCAGTGTGGCAACGTCATCGCAGGGCTGAAAAAACAGGACAACAGCCATTTTCTGCACTAAAGAAGCCACTAACCTTTGGGTTTTAGGTGCAGTTTGTGGGCAAGCCTGGGCACTCCGTGGACAGCAAGAGTTTTCTGTTCTGACACCTTTTGTCTCAGAGGATACTTCATTCGAATTCAAACTTGGGAGTCGGACTGGCACTTTCAGCGCAGAGCTGAAAAAAGAGAACAACAGCTCTTTCCCCCCCAAAAGAAAGCCTGTAACCTTTGGGTTTCAGGTGCAGTTGGTTTGCTAGTCTTGGCACTCCACGAACAGCAAGAGCTTTCTGCGCTGGCACCTTTTTTATGGGAGGAATCTTCGCCCATGTTCAATTTTGGGAGTTGGAGTGCCGACTTCAGCACAGGATTCCTGAAAATGAACAACACCCCTTTTCCACAGGAAAGAAAGCACTTAGTGTTGTGGTTTTTTGTGTATTTGGTGAGCCAGCCTGGGCACTCCATGGGCAGCAAAAGCTTTCTGTGGTAGCGCCTTTTGTCTGGGAGGAATCCTCATCCATATTGATTTTTTTAGAGACGGACTGCCTATTTCAGCTCTAGGATTCCTGCAAATGATCAACAGCCCCTTTTCCCTGGAAAGAAAGCCCTTACCTTCATGGTTTCTGGTGCAGTTGTGGTTGGCCAGCCTGGGCACTCCGTGGGCAGCAAGAGCTTTCTGTGGTGGCACCTTTTCCCTGGGAGGAATCTTCATTTGTATGGATTTGGGGGCGGGGGGGGCCGGCAATTGCAGCGCAGGGCTGGCAGAGTTTGTGATTTTAGCAGACCCTCAGCTGCCCGGCAAGGCTCACGTCCCACCCGGGACTGCTGCTTTCACCCCAAGTTCAGGTCTGGAAGCCATACGTGGTGTAGCAGAGGACTGGATAGAAGGACCTACTGCTGCTACTCCTCTTGGAGCAGAAGCCACTGGCTGTGGGCAATTCCCACCTGAAGAAACCTTGGGGGAAAAAAAAAGACAAAAATGTCAAGAATTTTATGCTGCAGGATCCGTCCATCAGAGCTTGAAACAGAAGTCACAAAGGAGAAAACAAGCAGCAAATGACACCCCAGTGTTAAAGAGGCTTTTTTGAAAGACCTTTAAGAATTACAAACCTGAGGTAGAAATAGCAAAAAAAAAAACAAAAACCAACCAAACAAACAAAAAAACAACAACAACAAAAAAAACCCCTTATTAAAAAACAACCCACGACAGCAGAGAAAAGTTTCTTGTCTGTAAAGAGTAAGCAGGTTAACACCGATGCCCTGTGAAATGGACTTTAATGCCACAAGCCTTCCACTACGCATGGATCGAGACAACAGGTCCAGCATCTGAACAGCCCCCCTTTCCCACAAGCAAGTTTTTACTTCAGCCTTGTCCAGGCAACAAAATCGATGGTGTTGTTGGGACATCTCCCGCACTCACCGGTACATTCTCCTCCTGCGGCAGAGCTGCCTTTCTCCTCCCCAGGCGCTCTGGCAGCTCCCTGACACGCTTCTCCAGCACCGCCGCCTCCGAGCTGCGCTCCTTCCAACGCTGCCTCTGGTGCTGCAGCCCGGCATTCTGCTCCCGCTTCACTTTGTTCCTCAGCTGAAGAAATGCACCGAGCAGCGGGGCAGGAGGGGAAAGCAAGGCAGAGAAAAACAAAGGAACTTTCAGGCAGGCAGCCACACGGGCCCGGCAGGAACGGGAACAGTGGCATTTCTTTGCAATGAGCTCAGAGAAGGAGCCGACCGGCTCTGAAGCCCTTAAGAGTTGAGGGTCACAAGCCGGCTTTCCATTACCTGCAGCTCCTTGGACAGGCGGCGGGTGGAGCTCAGCTCCAGCCCGCGGCTTGTCCTGGGAACCACCAATTCGGCGGCCCTTCCTCAGCCCCTCCGGCGGCCCGGGCAGAGCCGCAACAGGCTCTTCAGCTGGTCCAGCTCCTGCGCTGCAAAGGACGAGAGAGAGCACGGCAGCTGCCCTGAGGAACGGCCCGGCGGGGGCTGCTCTGCTCCCGGGGCGCGGGGGAGCTCCGGGAGGTCGGCCCTGGGAATGGTGCCCGTGCTGCTCCGCAGCCCCGCCGTGCCGACATTGCCGAGTGCCAGCGGGATTCTTTGGCTCCTTCTGGGCTGGCGCTGGGGCGTGTCCAGGGTGAGGCATCTCAGGGTGCCCGTCCAGAGCAGCCCCCGGCTGAGAAGCCGCGGGCAGCCCTTTCTCCGTGCCCACCGCAGTGCCCGTGGCCGGTTCCCAGCCCTCGGATGTGCGTTTGGCAGACGAGCCCTGCT